CTCTGAACGATGTCAAGTGGGGACCCCTTGCAAGCAAGAGGGGGAAACCGTAATTGAAGAATCGGACTTCCCAGAGACTCCCACAAGATGCCACCGGGCGGCACCTTACGGGCACTTTTTTAGCTGGGAGCCAATATTAACCGCCTGTTCAGGCGGTTTGTCCAACTAACTGCGTGGAGATTTTTCGAGCCGGACAACCTGAATTTGTGTGTAGTTTGACTATTAATGGGTTGACACAAGCAACGGGAATACCATTCCGCTATTAAAATTGCAAAATTCATCTGAAGGCTGAATATCAGCCTCCTAGGGTGCGTGGCCGCATGCAAACTGCCACTCAACGATTGGCTAGGTCGCATTCAATCCTAAGCAGCGCGCATTCATCCTTGAGGGGGTCATGCGTCCGTTGCATTGGGGAGAAACGCCACGAAAACGATGGTCTATAACGGGCCCTGGACTGGACCCATTTCTCAGATGCAACGGCAACGAACACGCTGCATAGTTCTGCACAGCCACTTGTGGATCCCTAAACTTGGAAGAGAAGGAAGCTTGTAGCTGTGGATTCACTTGAGTGTATAACGTCTGCTGAGGCGGGTGGACACACTGCTGCAACAGCTGTTGTCTGTGAGTGCGCTGCCTGTTGAGATGCTCCTTGAGTTGTTCGCCTCTTGGGACAACATGGGCGCCTTGATGCACATAAAGACGTTGGTGCTGAACTTCCCCTGTAGCCTTCGAGTTCCCGCCGGCACATAGTTCTGGGTGCGCATCCGCGTGCTGTCTCTCCCCTGATTGTATCTCCGTACCGTGATAGCCCATGGGAGAAGCTTCGCATCGCCCATTTGTCCAGGGCCCCGCTCGCTGCTGCTCTGGCTGCAACTTCTTCAAATCCAGCTCCGGAATCTGGCTTATTGGTGGACTAGCTTGTGCTTCCTGGGCAATATGAACAGGGCGGTGGTATTGCGGAGTCGTGGGACGCTGCTGACATACAGCTCGTAAACACTGCTGTTGCTCCGTAGGGCTTGGAGCCTGACCTGGTGCGTCGTCAGCGTGCCTTGACGAGTCTTGTGACAATTTCTGCAGGGGTGCGAATGTTGCAACTTCTAAAGGGGGCTGGCGCCGCGCTTGCGCCGTCGGTCCAAGTGGCTCTTTCCCGTCAATTCCTCTCAGCGTTTCCCGCATCCCCTGCAGCTTTTTCAGCGCCCAAGTGCCAAGTGGTGGGCTGGGCCCTAACTGAGTCAACCCCGTGGGAGTTTCACCGTGCGCCGTGGCCTGGTTGAGAATCCCAACTAGTTGCTGGTCCACGAGCAACAACTGATGCTCGAGATCCCTCGTCCTTGCTTGAGTCGCCGCCAGCTCGTTTTGTAGTCGCATTTGCTCCTCTTCAGCGAATGACTTGGCTTTTGCATGTTCCGCAGCAAGCAACTGTAGCTGACGACGCTCCTGGGAAATCCTTTCCAGCTCCTGCTGCGCCCGTTGCCTCTCTTTGTCTTCCCCTTGGGATGTGGGTGGACCAAGATCTTTGCGCCCTTTTTGTTTCAGCTCTCCTTGCAACTCCATTATCTGCCGACGGAGAGCATCCAACTCCTTCGTATGTTTCTCTTGCTCTTCAGAGGAACGCTTTTCAAGGTGTTTACACCAATCGTCCCTTGCCTGCACTTGCTTCTGCAGCCCTTCGACGAGTTGTTTTAACTCCTGAACCTGCTGTTCACTTTCACGTCCTCGATTTTCACCCCCTTGTTGGCTAGTTGTCCCCTGTAAAGCGCATAGTGCAGGAGCCAGCTGTGTTTCGTCCATANCATTTGGGTCTGTCAGCATCAGGCAGTCTGTTCTTGACTTCACAACGAAGTGTAGCATACTCGAGGCAGTTCTGTAGCTGTGTTTGGCTGGTAGTATTCTCAGTAACTCAAAGTTACGCACAACTAGCGAGCTAACCCCCAAACCAATTGCCGGGGACTTTGTCACTTTTTCTCAGTTGCATTAGGCTAATCTTGTCGAAGACCCTACAGCTAAGTTTTGGACAAACGCGCATGCGCATGACAAGGTGCATTTCAAGTACTGCAAAATACTGTTGCAAAATACTGCTAGTGCCTTGACACTTATATTCGTGGCAGTCTATAGCTCACCCTGGCAGTATGCTGGCGTAGTCTCTCGTCTTCATTATGGCACGGGCGTTCTGAATGAGCTCTGAGCTTCAGCCATCCAACTAAGAGGAGCCTGTATTGATTCGCCGCTCTTTGGGAGACACCTTCCAAGACAGTAGTAATGCGCAGCGTTTGTATGACGCGACGGTGCCGTTCCAGCTGGGCTCCTTGTGCCCAAGCACGCAGAACCAACCTGAATGGTTAACAGAGAAATGTCAGAACGCTTCCGTGCGGATTCAATCTGCGGCGACGAGGCAGACGGAAGTGCGAAGGAAAAGAGTGGCAGACAGCAAGCAAACTGATCGGGAGATGAAGCACATAGTCGGCGATCGGCTCACTTCTTTGTGAGAAGGTCTCTCTGGCGCGCAGCTTGGGCGTTAATCCACTTGAGAGCCTTGGATGTTGCAGAAGGGTTGCGTATACCATGAGCATGGTCTCCTTGTTGGGTGGGGCCGTCCTGTGTTGACTCCACCGAACAGTTTCGAGGACTCTTCGGTTTCGGCTCTACTACTTCTTCTGTTGGGACTGCATGTGTGCTTCCTCTTTGCCCAGTTGCGAATACCTCTGAACTGTCGCTGAGGATAGTTTGGTTGTTCAGTGACTTTGTAGAAGCTGGTTGGAGAGTCGATGGGATTTCTTGCTGTTCAGTCCGTCTGCCAGGTACGGGCTCGTGTGAAGGAGCCCGTTGGTTTTCCCCTTGCTGAGGCTGGCGGTGTCGCCTCTGGCTGAGTAACAGCTGTGCTCGGGTCATTAAGCAATCTAGCCTACGGATGCTCGTTGTAAGGGTGCTCTTTCGATCATCGGAAAGCGAATTAAGCCGAACCGAACCGTCTGACGGAGCCAGCCCTTCCACCAGCATGCAGGAGGCCACAGAATGGGCAGACTTCACACCGCGGTTAACAAGAGTTGTTGCAAGGCGGTGAGT